CTGTTGGGGAGGCAGAGCAGCCTCTGTTCATGGGGAACTTGGACCCCTCCCCCCACAGACAGGGGCTGCTGCCAGATCAGCCTCTGTCCACAGCTGGCCTGTGGGGAACAGGTTTTTAAACTGGTTCACCTTATGAACTGGCTCCCACCTGGCACCCTGCACTGCTATCTCTGATACAGAGGCAGCAGTACAGGGTGGCAGGGGGCTCCCCGGGAGTGGAGCTGGATTGCACTTGCTGCTGCCCCACCCCCAGGGACTATCAAATAGTCGAATAACCAATAAGAATTCATGCAGGTTACTCGACTATTCAGTTACTCGATACTAACATCCCTAGTCTGGAGTGATTTCAGGAAGGTTAAGCTATTCCATTGCTCATTGTCTTTGTAATATTGTCTGGCTTCTTCACTGTTTTACCTGAAAGGCTGGCTCTGGGTGTTTTTCAAAGTAAGCCCATTTAAAATAAAGATATATAGTCAATATTTAGAACTTCAGATACAATAATGATACCTGCATATAAATAGGATAATGATATTCAGCAAAACATATCTTTTCCAGTGACACCGTGCATGCTCTGTATTGTACAAAAGGCATCATAATTATGTCACAACCATATCATAATATTATTATGAAGAATATGGGGTACAGTATCACATCCTTCAGTGTTGTAAAATGCAATTAAGAAAGAGAGCTTCAAATTAATTCTGTGAATTTAATCTGAAAACATTGTCTGCTCTGACTCACTTCTAAAAGTATCTAGAAACCTGGTACAAAGGCATTTAGCAGACTTAAGGACCAGACTCAATCATGATTACTTCTGCTTCTTGAAAATGTAGATTATTTTGCTTGTAATAATATTTACTATTCATATTAATATTTCTGTTGCAGGATCTTATAATGTATTGTAGTAGTGATATGGCTAACTTAATTTAGACTCATGTATGCCTAATAATTTTTTCATTTTTTAGGACTTAAAATTGGGATTTTCAAAAGCACTTAATGGAGTTAGGTGTCCAGATCCCTTGCTACTTGATAATTTTCCTTTATCCAGCTAGTACTTTTTCTCTATAGAAATAAACTTCAGGAGGTATTCATACTAATTACTTTATTTGCTTAACTAATTGTTAGATATTTATTTTAAAAATTGATTTTAGTATGAATTTTTTTTTTTTCATTTAATCATCCATTGGGTTTTGTGACACTTCTGGTTATCAATGTTATAGGGCTGTGGCAGAAATTCTCAAGAGCAGCATGCTTTAAAGCATTATACAACACCAAGATCAGAACCCCATTGTTTGGTTCTCAGTTTGGACAACTGGAGTGTGTGGTGAGTTTGTCAGGCAACACTCATAAATCATAACTGAAAGAAAATTAAAAACTAGGGTATGATTTATTTATGTCTTTGTAGACTTCTCAAAATAATACACTGAAACTTTCAAGATAGTTCTGTTTAAAAAAATGTTCAAAGTTAAAGTTGCTGAAGTAATTAATAAATTCTTTTACTGCAGCATTACTAGGGTCCTACCAAATTCACAGCCATGAAACATGCATCGTGGACCATGAACACTTGTCTTCTGTGTGCTTTTACTCTATACAGATTTTACAGGCGACACCAGCATTTCTCAAACTGTGGGTCCTGACCTAAAAGGGAGTTGCAGGGCATTGTGGTACTTCCACCCTTACTTCTGTGCTGCCTTTAGATCTGGATGTCTGCTAACCATGGTGGCTGCTGACCGTGAGCCCAGCTCAACAGGCAGAAGTGCAGAAATATAGGTGATAATCCCATACCATGCCTTCCTTACCGCTGCTGGTAGTCACTCTGCCTTCAGAGCTGGGCTCCCAGCCAGCGGCTGCCCCTTTTCAGCTGCCCAGCTCTGAAGGCAGTACTGCTGCCAGTAGTAGCATAGAAATAAGGGTAACAGTACTACAGATGCACCTCCCTTCCCTCTCTCCTCCCTGCCCCCATCTTGCCACCGTCCAAATTCTTTTTGAATCAGGATCCCTGTAATCGCAGCACTGTGAAATTTCAGATTTAAATCAGAAATAATGACATCTATTATTTTTACAATCCTGAGGGTGAAATTGACCAAAATGTATCTCTAATTTGATAGGGCCCTTCACATTAGAAGACTGGCTCTGACCAGTTAATAAATATTCTATTAACATTCACATTTTATACATTCCCTTAACAATAGTACAGTAAAAGCTTTCTTATCTGGGATGTTGGGAGAATGGGGATTGCTGATAAGTCAAAAATTCAGGTTAACTAAGAGAGAGGGAGTTCGTGTGCGGGGGTGGGAGGGACTCAGGGCAGGATGTTGGGTTGCGGGAGGGATTTTGGGATGCTGGATCATGGTGGTGCTCATTTTGGATGGCTTTCTGCAAGCAGCAACATGTCCCTGCAGCTCTTAGGCAGAGGTGAGGTGTTCTGTGCACTGCCTCAGCCCACAGATGCTGCCCCTACAACTCCTTTTGGCTGTTCCAAGCTAATGGGAGCTGCAGAGCCAGGGCTCAGGACAGGGAGATATAACGTACATAGATCCAGACGCTGTTACTCTACCTGTGAGCAACAGGGACATTTTGCCACTTTCAGGGAGCCATGTGGAGCAAGGTAGGAAGCCAGACCTTATTAAAGATCAGAAATGTCAGTTTATAGAGCTTTCTGTGCTGGTAAAGTGCCAGATAACACAGCTTTTACTGTATTGAAGTGAAAAATTCATATTATGCATTCCCAGATTAGTTTAAATGTTGACTTTCAAGACACATGCTGTTTCAGTCCGAACATAATAATAGTATCTTTCTTAGGCTACATAACGTAGTGATAAATGTTAAATCTTTCAGTTTTGTTACAAATTAAGGTTTTAATGAACGTGCTGTAATTGTGATTTTTACATAAAGTTGCTTATGTGATTTATACAATGGCTAACTAAGTTAAATATTTGTGTTGGGTATGGTATAGGATATTGTAAATTGTATGACACAGAAATGTTGCATCTACTGACTTCAACTGGCTAAAATTGCAGCAAGGGAGGTTTAGGTTGGACATTAGGAAAAACTTCCTAACTGTCAGGGTGGTTAAACACTGGAATAAATTGCCTAGGGAGGTTGTGGAATCTCCATCACTGGAGATATTTAAGAGCAGGTTGGATAGACCTCTATCAGGGATGATCTAGATCAGGGGCGGATAACCTTTTTTGGGTGGGGGGGCACTGACCCATAGGAAAATCACTTGGGGGACTGCAAACAAGTGAGAAATAAAAAAATCCCACCCCTCACCAGTGCCTCGGGTCAAGTCCAGGATAGGGATGTAATAGTGTAGTCGATTAACCAATACGCAAAATCCTATAGGTTAGTGCTATGGAATACACGCATTTCACTCCTCCCCTGGCCGGTACATTTTTTTAGCAGGCTGGCCAGTAGCCCAGCTCACTCCTGGCTTGTGACGAGTCTAGGGCCTACCCCACTGCAACTCTACATTTAAAGTATATTAGGAGCTGGGAGGTAACCTAACTCAGTCCTGGCTCGCGCTGGAGGACCTACTCCCACTGCAGCTCTACATTTGAAGTGTATTAGGAGCTAGGCAGGCAGGCCAGCTCAGTTTCAGCTCGCACCGGATCCAGGAGCTCAGGCATCCCCTAGACAGGGACTGCTGCTGCTTCTTTATCAGAGGCAGCAGCACTGGGCGACAGGCAGCCAGTCCGTGAGGGGATCTTAACTCTGTAGGACTAATGCTGGAGTGCACTGGCTGCCTGCCCTGCCGACTATAGAATAGTCAACTAATCGATAAGAATTCATGAGGTTATTCGACTATTTGATTAACCGATGTTTAACATCCCTAGTCCAGGAAAGCAGGGGCTGCATCTGGTCCTTAGGCCTTAGGTTCTCCACCCCTGATCTAGATGGTACTTGGCCCTGCCATCAGAGCAGGGGACTGGACTTGATGACCTCTCAAGGTTCCTTCCAGTTCTAGTATTCTGTGATTCCTGTAGAATTTAATACTGGATGGCGTCATACAGTATTTCATTGCAAAGTGGATGTTTAAAACTAAAAGCTAAGAATACATTCTTTAAATCTCTTGATATGATTAATATACAAAGGAGGTGCTACAATTGTAATATTTTATACGGTATTTAAAAAAAACTTTTTTCTGTTCAAAACTTTTAGCTGATGCACAGACAATGAAGAGAATGTGTAAAGAAATGGTGCCTAATTAAGTTTGTCATGTGTTACCCTTTAAAATGGTGATTCTGACCCTGTTTAAAAATTTACCAAGCTTCCAAAACAGTTGACAAAAAATAGATTCCTAAATAGGTTGGCTGAAAAATTGGTTATATGTAGATACTAAATCATGGAAAGAGCACTGGGAATTCTAGTGAATTAGAAAATAGAGCTTCGTTATGAACTTCCTTTGCTCCCCAAAATGGAAGTCAATCCACATTTTCTTGTAATCCTGAAATCTGCTAAATGCATTTGTGCCTAACACTTCAAAAATCAATGTACCTGAGAGACTCTCATTTAGGATGTTTCTGTATGTCAGTGCAGTTCTGTTTGGTTACATATGTAACCGAGTCTATACCAGGTAAAAGGACAGGTGGTTCCTGAAAGTCAGGGTTAAGTTATATTGACAGGACAGTGTGGGGAAGGTTGCATCTCAGTGCTGTATCTGCACTGTTGATAAACAGAATATTTCTGTCCGCCAGTGTCACTTTTCTCAGCACAATTAAAGGAAACACACTGCAGTAATCTAGTGGTATACTTACTTGGTTGTATTCTCACTGAAATAAAACACAACTGTATCAGCAATAAAAAGGCAAATAAAATACAAATATACAATAACATGACAAATAGAATATGCATGTTAATGTCTTATTCAAGTTAAATATAACAAAGTAAATATCTGGATAAAATAAGCTTCAACTTTCATATTTGTATCCGCTGATATTTGTAATAATTTCCTTTGGAGCCTGTTAGTCTAATTTCTTTATTCATGCAGAACACCCACAAAATATGAGTTTTGCATGAGTAAGGACTGCAGAATGGCCTTAGTCATCCTGCATTCAAAGAAGTTACAATTTATATATGATCCCTATCGCCCATATCACTGCCACTCTTTTTTTTTTTTTAAGTGAAGGTAAATTGGCATCAAAATTGTTTTAAATTCCTGATTCAAGAAAATAGTTATAAAATTATAGCATTTTCAGATGTATATAATGGAGTAGTTCACAAATGACTTGTTGTGATTGGCTGGCATATAAATATGATTTAACTCCGTTTTTCACTGCACTCTTTTGGCTTCTTTTTGGGAGACAGGTGCTACTTGTGTGATAATGAAGTCCCATATAATAGTTCCAATAGATTGGGCCAACTCGTGGATTATGTTAGAAAACAAGCTCAAGTTGACACACCAAGTCCAGGTAGGTACTGGTAGAGTATATAGTACACTGAAAGTGCCTTGAGTCCAACAGGCACTCATACGAATAAAGACAATACAATATTTGTGGGGTTTAGATTTTAGGAAACGGGGCCAGGATTTCACCTAATGTTCTCAAACATTTCAAAAGTAAAATATGCTCACAAAACAAATTATTTATGGAATCTAGACTGCTCTTGTTAGAATTTGTCATGTGGATTCCATTCGAGGGACATGCCCCTGAGATAGCGAGTATGTGAATAGTAGCATCTGTACCTGTTGTATGCACATCTTTCTGTGGGACCTTCCTGATGACACAAAAGACAAAGAAGGTGCACCTGTCATCTCCATTCCCTTTTATTGCCCGTAGCAGCAAGATAGGAGTGTTTGCGTGGTATCCCTTTTTTAATGGAATGTTCCTCTTGTGATTTTTCTCTAAATAGAGGAATTTCTCAACAAATTCCCCCTCTTTTATTTAGTTGTTTTAAATTAAACTTCTCAGCACTTTGCACCACTACCTTTAATGTAAACAAATTCAAAGCTGACCTCCTTTTGCAGTATTCTACAGAGATATGGTGATATTGAGATATTGTCCCAAGTGTATTTCCAAAGTTGTCAGATTTCCATTTTAAGTGGAAATCTGCAATTTTTCCATTTTTCCAAAACCCCATTGTTCTCCTGGGAATAAGAAACTTTACATCTTACATGTTCTAGGCTGTTGCTGTATTATTGTGATAGGCCAAACCACTTCAGACAGTCTTTCTGGCTTAGAAATGCTACTTATGACAACAAAGAAGCAAGCCTTATACTAGGTAATCTATCACATGGCTGCTATACCTTTTCCTCCAAATATGAAAGCTCATTCTGCTAGAGAACAAGTGACCTCCTCTGTATGCTTTACATACAACCCCATATCTGAAGTCTGCAAGACAGTTACACAGAATAATCCATTGCTGTATTAAACACTATTCCTTCTATAGGCTGTGCTGGAGGATCCCAGACCTGCCCTCTTCTCACTTTTTTTTTCCAGGGGACTTTTTACCTGAGATTTTGAATTAGGGGAACTGAGAGATGGTTGTGGCTGCTCTGATATTTATGGCTATATCTGTGGAGTAGGGAGGCACAAAGATATTGCAGTTCTAATTTGATACCACTGGATTTAATGGAATCAGGAATTGGCTCACAAGCTCTAACTTGATGTACAAAAGTGAGAAAACATGGAGAGAATCTGAATTACTGCACTTAGTATGAATCCACATGATTTTGAGGGTTGCTATTACTCTGAAGAAGATGCATTCATATCCTATCTGAATGCCTTGCTAGTCAGAGCCCCATCAAGAAAAGCCTGCCAGTTATTTAGCAGGTGTTTCTGTTGGAATTCAAACTCAATTTCTCCAGGAATTTCTGGTTCAAAGTATCTAGTGGCATCTTCCAGTGCGATATATGAATTTTGGAGAAACATCCTCAGGGTACAGTTGTTGCTTTAAAGGAAAAAAGTACTCGAACTCCATCTTTTTACGTGTTAAAAGTATTGGCATGAGAACACTTACAGGAGAGTTCTGTTCTATATACTTCATTTTAGGTTGTAATTACTGTTTCACATGCAGTATTATTTAGATGCTATGGTGAGGGATGCTGTACAAAATGCTATGGTAGAATGACTTTTGACTCCATAGAGAAATTTCCAAGAAAACATTAAATTTCAAGGTGTATGTTTGTTACAAGTCGGGATTCAACTGATAGCTATATAAAAAAGCTCTGCATAGTTAATCTTGTTAAATTGTGATGTGCAAGAATGACCTCAAAACTTAGAACAGAAATATTATACATGGAATGTGATGCTTGAATGGCATAGGTTTAAAATTTTACCCTCATAGGGTATGTCTACACTGCAGCACTATTTCTAATAACTAGCGGTATTCCAAAATAACTTAGTCTGCTTCTACACATCAGGCAGTTATTTTGAATTACTCTCAACTCCTGTAACCCTCATTGTACGAGTAATAAGGGAAGTCGGAGGAAGAGTGCTCTATTTTGAAATGAGTGCTGTATAGACGCTCTCTATTTCAAAATAAGCTACACAATTGACATAGCTCAATTTGTATAGCTTATTTCAAGTTAAACCCTGCAGTGTAGATACACCCATAGTGTTCTACTGCTTTCTTCAAAGAGGTAACACTTTTCTAGGTCTACAAAATGTTAGGTGCTTGGGATGAGTTGGAAACAGGTGTTTGTTTTTTTTTGTATTTCAGTGTCAAAAGGTGATGAAAACAAAGAACTGGAAAATAAAAAAGTAGAAAAAGAAAACCAAAATGAGCAGGAGAAGGAAAAAAAGGAGATCACAATCAAAGAAGGCCATTCTTCAAATACTGGAACAGCAGTGACTGTGAAAGGACTTAGTAACTTGGGGAATACATGTTTCTTTAATGCTGTTATGCAGGTACACTAAATATTGTTGCAACCGCTTTGGATTCAGATTTTAATGTTTTGTAATAGTCTCGAAAGGGCCTAATGTATATTAGCACCTAATGTTATAGGTGCTGTTTAAATATGCAGACATGAACTTTGCTGTACAATACATACAGTGAAATTGGAGACCAAAAACAAAAGATGTCATTTGTAAAGAGGAGGAAATTAATGGATAGGGAGGATAGAGGACTGTAGTTAAACTAAGATCGGTTACTTGGTTTAGCTATTGAGCAATGTGATTTTCATCTCATTTTCTTATGTCTCCTATACCTGATGCCCACACTTGTTGGAAGCACAGCAGAAATGGGTCATGAGGGAAAGCAAGTGGTAATTTGTGGGAGAAGCAGACATATTGGTATTCAAGGCTGGCATCATTGGTAGTGTGTAGTGATTGGGATAGAAGAACAACATAGTAAAAGCAGATAACTAAAGGGGAGCAGGTGCAGAGTTGTAATGATTCTGATGGTAAATATGAGAAGCTTGAATTTCATATGATGAATATGAAGCAGAAAGGTGGGGATGTGGCCAGAAAAACCTCATGAGTGGATTGGAGGTGGTGTAATGTAACCGAGGTTGGAAGGGAAGTAGCAATAGTAATGTAAGATGAGCGCGTAAATTAGGGTTCTCCCAAAGTAGTGATATCTTAACACATTGCAACTCTGATACAGTGGTTTTCATTAGCATACCTCAAAGCGCCTTTCAAAGGGAAGTAAGCATTATTTTTCCCATTATATAAAAGCCACAGAGATGTAAAGAAACACTTACTCAAGGTCATCCAGCAGGCTAGAGACAGCCAAGAATAGAGCCCAGGTCTCCCATGTCTCAGGTCAGTGCTCTATCCTATAAGCTACATTGCCTTGCTCACTAGCCATTATTTGAAACTGTTATGAAGTGTCAGGATTTGGATACTTTCTGGATGTGTGAAGCAAGAGAGAGGAAATGGTCAAATCTGCTCCCTCTCCCGCCCCCAGTTTACTCACTTGAATTACAAATAGAATGATAATGCTGGCAGGATGTGAAGAGCTGAGCAGGGAGTTTTGGCTATATGAAGTTAGAATGACTGACGATAACTTTAGATGTGCAAATATAAGCTGAGAATGGAAAGACAGACTTATAAGTAGCTGGTGCAAAAACTGTTTGCTGTGTTATATTTATTACGCTTTTATAATGACTTATTATTTTGCCTATACTGTGAACTTTATACAGTAACTCAGAGTGCAGAGATTAAGGAAATAACTGAAAATGATTGTTGCTTACTCTTTTAAATGTTTTAAAGAAGTTATTAATTAATGCCTTTGTAATACCCATAGAGTTCTTAGCAAAAAAACCCCCCTCATTTTCCTACACTTCCCACATATGTATCTAATGTGTTGAACTTCTAAGTGTTGAAAAATAATGTTGTAACTACTACATTACAGGCAGTCCCCGGGTTACGTACAAGATAGGGACTGTAGGTTTGTTCTTAAGTTGAATCTGTATGTAAGTCGGAACTGGCGTCCAGATTCAGCCACTGCTGAAACTGACCAGCGGCTGACACGGGGAGCAAAGCCTTGGAGGACGCGGCGCGTCTGGGCTGTCCCGCTGCCGGTGTCCTCCGAGGCTTTGCTCCCCGTCTCCCTGGTCTGCTGGGGGTGGGAGGGGCGCACTAACTGCGCCCCTCCCCCCCCAGCAGACCAGGGAGACGGGGAGCAAAGCCTTGGAGGACGCGGCGCGTCTGGGCTGTCCCGCTGCCGGTGTCCTCCGAGGCTTTGCTCCCCGTCTCCCTGGTCTGCTGGGGGTGGGAGGGGCGCACTAACTGCGCCCCTCCCCCCCCAGCAGACCAGGGAGACGGGGAGCAAAGCCTTGGAGGACGCGGCGCGTCTGGGCTGTCCCGCTGCCGGTGTCCTCCGAGGCTTTGCTCCCCGTCTCCCTGGTCTGCTGGGGGTGGGAGGGGCGCACTAACTGCGCCCCTCCCCCCCCAGCAGACCAGGGAGACGGGGAGCAAAGCCTTGGAGGACGCGGCGCGTCTGGGCTGTCCCGCTGCCGGTGTCCTCCGAGGCTTTGCTCCCCGTCTCCCTGGTCTGCTGGGGGTGGGAGGGGCGCACTAACTGCGCCCCTCCCCCCCCAGCAGACCAGGGAGACGGGGAGCAAAGCCTTGGAGGACGCGGCGCGTCTGGGCTGTCCCGCTGCCGGTGTCCTCCGAGGCTTTGCTCCCCGTCTCCCTGGTCTGCTGGGGGTGGGAGGGGCGCACTAACTGCGCCCCTCCCCCCCCAGCAGACCAGGGAGACGCGGAGCAGCTTTTCTCACCCCGTAGGACGCAGGCGGTGGGACCGCGGCGCATCTGGGCATCCCGCCGCTCCCGTCCTCCGGGACAAGAAAAACCCCGTTTGTAACTGTGGATCTGACATAAGTCGGATCCGCGTAACTCGGGGACTGCCTGTACTGACTTTTCAATTGCATCAGAGTTCACTTTTTCCCCTAATTACCAGGAATTTAATTTGATTTTTTTTTAATCTCTTACAGAATTTATCACAGACACCAGATCTGAGAGAGCTGTTGAAGAAGGTTAAAATGCCTGGAGCAACAGTTAACATTGAGCCACCAGAATTTTCAACAGTATGGACACTGCAGTTTATAAATTAAATGTTAGGTGTATTAAAATCAGTTGCTTTTTGGTCTTTTGAAGAAATTTTAAGGAAAATCCTAAGTCTTGGATCCATTAAAGTCAAGGAGGGGATTTTTCCATTGACCTCAGTGGAATTAGGAATTTTACCAAGATGTACAGTGAAGTGGAAGATTTAATATGTTCAATGTTGTTAATGCATAGACATAGTCACATTACAATGAAATTTCCATTACAGTTAAAGAATTATTCTTGTAAGTTTGGCATCAATGAGGTCTGGTAAGAGTCCAATTTCAACCCAGTTTTAAAATTTGTAAAAGGAAATAATCTCTGCCCTTTGATGTGATCCTGCTATTCCTTCACTCTGGGGTCTAAGGTTGATTACATACTTTTAAATATTAAATTGAAAGTTAAGGAAGTCCCCAGATGCTTACCTTTGATAATGTACCTTTTTTTAACTTGAAGGTTTGTTTTGGTTTTTTTATACAGCAAAAAAAAACCCAACAACCCACAAATACATCTTTTTTTCAAAAAATTATAAATACTAGAAACCCAGAACACTAAGGATAAATTGTTTAATTTCAACTCTGAGTGTGCTGAATCTAAGGGTACTGTGTCATAAGGAAATATTTTCCAACCATTTCTGCCTTATGTTAACTTATTCACTATTGTTTCATTTATAAAATCAGAAAATTAGGCTTTTTTTAAAATATTTATAATGGATCATATTTCAGGAAGCTAAAAAGAGTTCCGTTTTTCTAATATTGACCTAATTTCAAATTAATCCATAACTCTGACTCAATTAAGGATGCAAAACAAAACTTGATTTTTGTTTTTGTTGTTTAAAAAGGAACCTCTGGTGATAAAACTTGAGCAGCCTGGACCCCTTACATTAGCTATGTGCCAGTTCCTTTCAGATATGCAAGAGACAAAAAAGGGAACTGTCACTCCTAAAGAGCTCTTTGCTCAGGTTTGTAAAAAGTGAGTATCTGCACATAATGTATTGCAATAATGATAGAGTTAATGGAAGCATTAGCTTATATAGTAATAAGGCAGGTTTTACTATTAATGACAAAAGTTTTCATTTATCTGTCACTGTGCATGTGCCAGCAGAAGTTCAGATGGTACCTATAAACTTTTCGAAGACATTGTATAGGCTAAAATAGAAATGAAATGAAAGAAGCGTATAAATTGAGACTTTCTATGCTTTCAGCTTCGTATTTTTCAGAAATTCCAATATATATGAATTTATTTCATTAGCGTTTGGGACTTGTTTTAATAAATTCTCATTCTATTTAAACAGAGCAATACGATTTAAAGGTTATCAGCAGCAAGACAGCCAGGAATTGCTTCGTTATTTACTTGATGGGATGAGAGCAGAAGAGATCCAAGTAAGTATTTAATTCATTGTAGTATATAACAGTGTTGGTGTTCAACAAAGCACTAAAATTAGTATAGTTAGAGTAAAAATTATCTTTAATGTCTCTTGTTAGGTACACTGTAAGCAGATCTGTTTTACGTTTTAACCGTTTTTGATAGGTCTGCAAGGAATTTTTAGACCACATACCTCCCAGCTCATACTAAATTGACTTGACCATATTGTCATTTGCATGGTTGTGTGAGCAACAGTAGAATTTTTGAAAAAGGCTAGTTAGGGGTTTTCTTTATCAGAAGTTTACTGTAGTAGCCTAAAAGGACCTCCTTTTATGGATGATGAAACAGCTCGGTTTGGGAAGAGAGAGAGAAGATAATCTGGCACCTTTAGGACGCAGGGGGTGCCGAATTATCAGATATGACGGAGTACCGGAAGGGGGACTATGAGGGGTCTGGGGTGGGGGTGGAGGGGTTGGCAGGGAACTGCGCAGTGTGGGAGAGGGCGATGCTGCAGGACCAACCTGGCAGCACCCCAGCTGCTCTGCCTCCAGCTCCCCACAGTCAGCGGCTGCTGAAAAGCAGAGCAGCTCCAATTGTCGGGCTGGCCGGAGCACTTCCGGGTTCCAATTGGTGCCGGACTATCAGGAGTGCCGGACCACTGGATGCCAGACAATTGGAGTTTTACTGTACCTGTAATTTACTGTCACAGGAAGGGAATTCACCTGCTTGTATTTGGGCCTGGCCATAGCTGCAAATACTTAAAGGATAAACAAGTCAATGAATATTAGTTTCTAGATACAACTGTGCTCCAGGAGGGATGCATTCTGGTGAATCTTGGGTTATTTTCTATCTTCTGATGATTATGTACCAAAAGAATCAGTACAGGCAGTCCCCAGGTTACATACAAGATAGGGACTGTAGATTTGTTCTTAAGCTGAATCTGTATGTAAGTCGGAACTGGCGTCCAGATTCAGCCGCTGCTGAAACTGACCAGCGGCTGACTAC